AGGCGGCAATCGATCACGTCGTGGGACAAGGCCGACTCCCGGACTTCGATGATGATATTCCGTACTTGGATGCAATCTTGCGAGAGGTGTTACGATGGCGACCCGTCGTTCCCCTTGGTACGTTCGCCGGCGATTAACTATACTGTCTGAGTCAAATGCTATCCAGCGATCCCCCACGCGGTAACAAAGGATGATATATATCATGACCGCTACTTCATACCCCGCGGTGCGGTTGTTATCGGAAACAGTTGGTGGGTACTCGCCTACCTGAGGCTCACAATTTGTTAAAATGATTGCAGGGCGGTCCTGCACGATGAAGCGACCTTTGGGCCGAGGCCTGACGAATTCATCCCCGAGCGCTGGCTCAACAAGGACGGAAAAATCAACACCGCAATGCGGGAGCCCAGTAACGCATTTGGATACGGCAGACGCAGTTGCCCAGTCAGTGCTAATTTCGTGGCCTTCTAAAGTCTGAATATATACACCTGACACCCGATCTGCAGGGAAGAGACGTGGCACAAGGGTCCGTGTGGATCTGTATTGCCTCAATTTTGGCAACTTTCAACATCAGCAAGAGTGTGGATGAGAAAGGAGTGACCATTGAACCATCGGGCGAGTACACTTCCGGGATGTTGAGGTGGGGTTCACACTATTAGTGCATCCCCCCGACTAACCGTCCAAATAGTCACCCCCTTCCCTACAAAAATGAGATCCGGCCAAGGTCCGACGCTGTGCGAGCCACGATACAAGATGCCCTGCAGGATTTATCCCCTTGAGGCCTCAGATATTGATTTTCACATCCGAGGATAATACGGTGCCGTATCACGTCGTTTTCGCCTCTTGAGGGCCGGATCCGTACAACTGTATACCATTCGAGGGCATTTTGTGCCTTATTTCGCTGTATCTGTATCTCGAAATGGTGATGAAATTCCCACGACCCTTTAGTATCGATAGCAGCGCAAGCGCCAGTCCCCTACTCTGTAAGTAATTCTATTTATATTAATGATCACCTATTCTGTGAAGTTGGCCTGAGCTCGGACGAACACCACGTCGAATTCTTGGGGGAACGCTGACGCGACGCGGCGACGCGTCCGGACATAGTCACACCTGATCATGAGCTAATAATGGCAGTTAGCGGGGAAATCAGTCCGGATGAAATCTGACTTTCGGGGCTAGGATAATTTGCCGCGACAGCCGTGCCGCAAGGCCGCACCACGTCACCCTGCTGCGTGTCACACTGCCGCACCATCGCCGCACCTGGGAAGTCACTACTGCCGCGCTGCCGCCCCATGTGGCAACATTAATCTCTGTCGGCAAGCCAGATATGTATGACCTGTGGATTTTCTAAATGGTCTAACAATGCCAGTGATGAGTCTCTATACCAACTACCCCACGTTCAGAACTGATCGCGGACCAACATTTTCCCATATTTATTCAAACTCCGACGCGATCCGTTCTGTACGTCTGGGTTACCGAGACGAATATTCGGATAGCGTGACGCTAAACAACAGGGATCACCGAGCTAAGGTGTGCAAGAGCTTGTTATTAATATTGCATCTGATAACAATACTTACTCAACCTTGAAAAGTATCCTCCATTACACTTTTGTGAATCCCGCTATTCCGAATGAGATTACCTCTCGGTCACATACACCTGATGTGGGCAAACCGGGGGTGTTCGACCGGCCTTACTTTGAACGCCCCTCTCTTCTTATAATATAGTGGCTGTGCATCTGGGCTCACCGTCCGGATTGCATTGTTGATTCCGACGCAGACTTTGGGTTTTTGGTTTGATTTACATAAATGGGGTCTCTTGCAAGACAATCACATTTGGTGGAAGTATAATAAGACGTGCTCGAAGATAACTCTTCCACTTGAGCATCGCAACCTCCGAAAGCTAAAACAAAAAGCATGAGTTTCTGCCGAGCGAAGCTGCGGCCTCTACCCCAAGTTTAAATAATGCATTGCATGCTCGAAGATGTCTTGTTACACCGCCGCCATTATTGTATAACCGTTGCCGTTGGCGCCACAGCCTGTTCGCTCGTCATAGACATGGACACGATTTTACCTGAAATACCGCTCCTTGCATAGTTTTTCAGGTAGTGTCAATAGATGCATAGCAGCAAAGTTCACATGGTGAGCGCCGGGAGTCTCAGAGGGTCCCCGCAGGATTAATGGAGGGCTCAAGGAGTAAAAAGTGACATACTCGAACGTGTCTAGCTATTTACATAAGGAAATACAACTTGAAAGCAACCTGTCTATCACCACTATGCAGACTGGCGACCCTCCCTTTAGTCAACCGACCGTTCCTCGCGAACCTCTTACCATTGGCTGCCCTGGACCGACGCCGCACCGCGGGGCCCGTGCTTTGCATCTCCGACTCGGACGCTCTGCGGCGACTTCTCTGCGACCGACTCTCGTATCTCACGGCGACAACTTTTTCCGAATCGGCGATGTGTGGAACTCTCACCGCGAAGGGCTAAGCGCGGCGATGAAGATGTGTGCATTGTAAAAAATCTTCCCAAAACGCCGACTGCAAGGGCTGGACCGCGCAGGTGCAGACAGAGCTGCATGCGCATCTGCAGATCCTAGCAAGTTTTTGTATATAGATACATACCTTATTTACGTCGCTAATTCTGAGGCATGTCGGTCCATTCGAACAATGGCTTTACTGCTCCGCCATCCCATGCTACCAGCGTTTCCAGGGCCGCCGCTCCCCAATCAAAAGTCTCGTGCTCATCGTGGTCGGCTGGTCCGTCGACGAAAAGTACGAATTCCTCATTATTTGCTGGGATGAACCCTTCGGCGATCCCACTGCGGATGAGCTGTCGGAGGGGCTCGAAGTATCCAAGGACGTTAATGACGATTATAGCTGTTCCAAAAAACAGTGTCAGCATGTTGTTCGCGAGCGATAAAATGCGCATGAATACGTTTACTGTGATATCCAATCTGCGTCCAAGTGATCACCTCCAAAATCTGCACCGTCAAGATGACCCATTAGCGACCCCGAGTGTGAGTACCGACTGAACTGGCACACGCCTCATCCAACGTCCCAAAGCCACCCGGGAGGCCAAAGAAGCCGCCAACACGTTTCGCCATTTCCGTTTTGCGCTCGCTCATCGAGTTGACGACGATCTATGATATATCGGTGTCGTTAAGGCGGCCGCAGCTCCGGACTTCCAAAGACGAACCGTCTCCACCCGCTCTGCGCCGGCCTGCACGGCGTCTTCCACGCCCGGCGCCTTTCCCTTGCCCTCGCCGCCCGCGCGCGAAATCGCATACGGGATGATGCCGGTGACGCTCCCCCCGCTCTCGAGCACAGCGCCCGCGACCACACCCATGATTCCCTTCCTTCCGCCCCCGTAGACGAGTGCGCGCTTGGCGCTTGCAATTGCGGTTCCCAAGGCTGCAAAGGAGAAAACTCAAAACGCCGAGCGGCAACTTGTGAGAGGCGCTTACAGACGGCGGCGCTGCGATACGCGGGCTGTTTCCCGAGAGTGGATGCACAATAGACGGCGACTGCCTTGGGGGGATGTTCTGCGATGGCCATGAGGGTGCGCGGTCAAGGGACGTGGTGGCAGGCTTTTATGTACCACGTTTCGGCATGAGGTAATTTAAGGGGTGCAGGCGGTCGACGCATCAGGAGCCACGTTGAGGGTGCGGAACACGTTGAGGGCACGCAGACTCAAGCACGCATAGATGATTCATGGTGACGTGGGACTTGGCAGCGTCCATGATGCGAGAATGAGCGCCCTGCGGTAGTCGGCCAGGGATAACTGGACAAAGACGCAGTTACAGTGCTTACAGAAGATATACAATTCTTGAATCCTTGTGTTACTGAGTCACTGACGGCGATGTGCGCCATGATTTTAAAAGGATCGGGAACCAGCTTCACGTATAGTGGAGCAATGGGCTATGACGCTGCGGAAGGAGATCAGAAAGCAACTGAGAAAATTTCCTTCTGATAGGTGAGATGTGAACAGGTAGAATTGCGACATTTTTCGCGCGCCAGAAAGGAGGCGGTGCGACGACCGAGAAAGTTAGTGCCGGCGGGGCGCCGTCAGGGCGAAAGTTGCTGCGCGAGGAACGGAGCACCCGGGGAAGACGGCGGAGGGGCCGTGAGCAGAGACGCAGCGGTGCGGAGGGGCTTGATGGGCAAAGATGTGGGCTGCGGCGCACACGGCCAGAGTCACGGTGGGACACGGTAGTGTGCCTGCACAGCGCGCCGCCGCCCGGTGCCAACAAATGCCAGCTGCATTCGCAGGGACATCGCGAAGTCGCGGACACTCGACGCGTTCGCGGCAGCCTGGGAAGCGTTGATAAAGGAGGCGACGGGGCATCGAGAGGGCGGCGGCAGGAGGAGACGCGTCTCCGGCGACAGTGGCAGGCATTGTCGCAGAGAGATGACGAGCGGATGGAGGGTCGGGGTGGCAAGTCACGAGTGACACCGTGACTTCACCCAATTCCGGAGGCCGGACAAAAGTTGACAAAAAAATTGCCCATCTTGGATACGAATCCGGACAAAAGCCACCGGGAGCGGCGATAGCTTGCATTCCGGACAAAAGTGGGCAGGGACTGAGTCTTCGGATACGGAGTCCGGGCACGGACTCGCGTGAGTGCATTTGGAGTGCATTCAAGGATTTGGCGAGAACGGTGGGCCACCATTCAAAGCACTGATTTGTGCCGCAATCATGTAAGTCTGTAACACGAGCGGTTGCACACCGTTTAAATTTCAACACTTAAGGTGGCAATTTTACCCCTTCAAGAGGGACCACTGGCATGTCAACAGCAAGTCAACAGTCTTGCAGCAAGTTGTTGCGCAGTACGGGAAATGAAAGACGTGGCACCATTCCCAGGAAATATAGGCTTTCAGGCAGCTAACCTCGCAAAAATGTTAACACAAGAGCTACGGCCGGGGAACAAGACTTATAGCCTATAGGCAGACATAAACAGGATACGAGTCATCGATCACTAAGTATCACCCTTCTTCTCAGTAGCATGGCATCAATGGGGTAGAGGTAACCTGGGTCGTTGCCATGGTCAATGTGGTCTCGTATTCGACCCGCCGGGGGTTCGATTCCCCCTTCTTGATGCATGAGTAATCGTTCACGTTCTATATTCTTTTTTTTCCCAAATGACTACTTCACTGCGTCTTCATTCCTCTACCGAATCACCCGTGAACTGGCGCATTCCGCGTGCAGTTCAACCTATTAGACGTTGTTTACAATGCCAGTGACGCGTGACGCGTGACGGATAAGGCGGGGCTTTGAATCTTTCGAGCATCTAAAACACATTTTTGAAGAGTTTTGAAACTTCGTGCGTAATTATGGCCGGCAGGTAGGGAAAAGACTGACTAGATTGCAATCGCCTTCACAGCGAAGACGGCAAAATCCTAGACAGAAGCAGTAACATCCAATGGAAGAGTTGCCGCCCCGCCGGTCTCGAGATTGGTCAAAGTCTCCAGACGCCGAGCTGTTGCAATGACGTGGAAGCCATCAGGTAATGCGGTTGCGTTTTATCAGGACTTGGAATTGAATACCTTTTTAAATGACCGGGCGTACGTAGGGCGATTTGCCAATTTCCCGGCCGAAGCCCGTCGAACATCCAGTAATCAAGCTTAAGAAGACAGAATCGTTGCTCATGTTTGATGGGCCTTGACGAAGCGGGTAAGATGCACTCCGTCCTGGGACCGACCACGCTTTAAACCTCTAGACTTCAGAGCCGTATATGCGGTCAGCCGTAAGTACTGCTGTAGTCCTCATCACGAGGGATGTTTTAATCTCGTAGTTTGATCGTAACATTAATTGCAATATTACGATCAAAGCAAGGCATGATCATTGTTTAACATTCAGCACCGAGCCTCGGTTCCACAAAATGGTAGTCCGGCTCCTGGATTCGGAAATTGCTCACTGTGTCCCGCAAGACGCCCCCCCTCACTGGCGTGGCCATCAGTTTGCGTCCACCGCTCAGGTCGTTGCATGCCCAGGTCCAATTTCAAGTTGTCACCACTAAACCGAGACACCAATTGCGCTCTATTGATTGTACTGGCCAATTCATTCTGGATATGTATGGTGTCTGCACGTAGGTATCCTCACAGCCGTACGTATGCCGGTGCGCTGCATCAATGGAATGTGTTTCTCAGTGGCGAGTGCCTTCAACACCTAGGCGATCGGTTGATTCGTACCAAAAGCGGTGCGAGGGATTCTTTTCTCCACCGCGCTTTCATCATCCCGATCCATGTCCCACACCAACCAGGCCGATGCAATGAAAATTGTCACCATGAGTCCAGCGCCTGCGGTGGTTCCGATGCGCGCTAAAATGTCCACCGCCTCCTTGTCGAGACTCTGATATGCGAGTGCCGTGATAGACGCGTAAAAGCAGAGCATGGCGCCGATGCCAAAGAGTGTCGGCGATGCCAGCACAGCGAGCATAGCTACCGGGCGTCTGGCTATTCTCTTCAGTCATTGTCAGGAGCCATCCGTGAGTCACGGTTTAATATTAAAGCAAAGGGCAAGACGCACGACGATGGAGCTGGGAGGCGCGTCCTGGAAAACGAAGCTCAGTCCGGTTCCGAATGTGATGGCCACGATGGCACAACACAGTGAGCCCAGAGCCATCAGATAGCTCCCCCCAGCGACCTTGTCGCTGAACACAGCGGACGCGGCTGCGCCCATGACCAAGCCGGTTGTAATCATCACCGTCTGCCATCGCTGGATGAGGTTGCCGCGGAAGTCGAGCCATGCAGCCTCGTCACTCGCCCGTAGTTGGTCTGAGAGACGGATTGGGCGCAGCCCAATAAGGATCAGCAGCAGGAGCGTGACGGCGAGGCCGTGCTTTCTGCGAAGACTTTCTGCGAGTACGGCAGTGGAGGAGGACCTCTCCAATTTCCCTGGGATTGAGGCACCGCCATTCCAGGACTCGATTTCCGAGCGAGAGAGCATACCGTCGACGAGCTCTTGCGGCCCTGTCGACCCAGACATAAAGACAGGTTGGTGGGAACGTTGGGAGGTCGATGAAGACAAAACATAGGTGTGGCAGCTGTCCGAGTCCCTGTGGCAACGAGCCGAGCCATCAGTGCCCGTGGATTGGCGCCGGCACTACCGATGAGAAACAGTTATTCATGGCGCTGATACGAATCGCCTGGATCACGAAGACGTGATACTATGTTGGCACCGCACTGCAGTTCCATGATTCCATCAGTCGATTCCTACGGCTTCCCAGGTCAGTCACGGTGTTACAGCCGTTTTGTGAATAATATACGGGTTTCGTAAATCGTTGATGCTCAATTTGTGCTTACCTCTGTTTGCGAAACTGTCATCGGCTAGGCGGCTCCACACTGCCGTACACCAACCGTACACTATTACTGCAACTGAGGCCATTCGGCATGGATGGCCGACTTGTCGTTGTCTTCATTTTTGTCAATATGTGCATATTAGTTGTGGCTCTGCGAAGTCCAGCATGGTTTTGCAAAGACAAACACCATTCGGCAGCGGCCCGGAGGTGTGTAGCCGAGGACACAACAGCAAACAGAGGTAAACCAAAATCGAGCATCAACGATTTACGAAACCGTATATTGTTTACAAACCGGCTGTATATCAAGTTGTACTCCATCCATTACGAGCAATATCCACTTATTCCAGGTGGTGGCATCAGTAAAACTACACATGTGTCTTACGCATCTTTAGTCTTGCCGGACGTGTCTTAGGTCTTGGGGAAACCTCGAAAGCTGCTCATACACCACTTCTTTGTGGGGCAAGGTATATTCATCATCTCAAACGCGCAGTGACCAAGATCCCGGTTTTCTTCTCCGCGTCAGAATGGGAGTATTCTGGTCCACTCTGTACCTTTATGTTTGTTTTGATTTCCATCAATTGAATTTCCATCGCTAATCCGAATTCGAATTGCTATCCGTGTCAATGGATCCGAGTGCCCGTAGGTGTTGTGGACATCGAAGAGGATGTGAACACTTATAGGGATGAGGTTGTCGACACTTAGGATTATTTCCCGTATTTTTCCCGAGTTTTAATTTTACATAATTTATTTTTTCTTTATACCTTAGATACATATATAGTCCGGACAAATTTTATAAAAATTTGGGAGTCAGATATGTAACCCGACAAAAAAAAAAGAGGTTCCGGCGAGAAAAAATCCGGACAACAAAACATGCCCGAGGGGTGAATGAGATCCGTATGCTATGTACCCCTTGGCGGGATTGACAAATGTACCCCTTGGCGGAACTGATAAATGACTACTTCACTGCGTGTTCATTCCTCCACCAAATCACCCGTGAGCGGGGGCATTCTGCACGCAGTTCAACCTATTAGACGTTGTTTACAATGCCGGTGACGGATTCTACTGTACGGCTCAGGCGTGGGCTGCTCTGATCTGAATTTCTCGAGCATCCAAAACATTTTTAAAGACTTTTAGCGAAAAGGGTGGCTGTGTCTCGGCATTCGGCACCACGTTACACCGCTCGTTACATAAGCCTCGCCACCCATCCTCTTCCTCCGACTCTGCGCTCACCCATATGTCTTCCAACATAGATGAAGCTATCGATCTCCGCGACGGAATCTGTCACTTCAACGTTCTCGTCATAGGGCGAGCGAATGCTGGCAAGACGACCCTCTTGAAAAGAGTCTGCAATTCCGTCGAGGATCCGGAGATCTTCAGTCCAAGCGGAGAAAAGGCAAGCCCGCGTGGCGCGCGTGTTGTCGCAATTGGGCTCAAGTGTGGCAGATTAATGCCTCCATTGTCGAAGGATCCGCCGATGTTCGTTGGCCATTTATTCTGCACATCCTTTGCTCACATTATGAGAAAATGTAGCGCGGATGGCATAACATCGAGAACCAGCTCATCTTCAAGAGCAACCCCCAATTTATCTTCCACGATTCGCGCGGCTTTGAAAGTGCTTCCGTCGAAGAGATTGAGAACGTAAAGGCCTTCATCGCCGAGCGAGCAGCAAGTACACGCCTGTCCCAGCAACTGCATACAATTTGGCAAGTTCACTTCCTTCACACCCGGCACTCCATTCACCGTTGGCAATGCAGGTATTGTATGCCGACCGACACGAACCGGCCATTATTGGAGGCCGACAAACAGTTCTTCAACCATCACGCTGCTGGCCAAGGCAAGTTCGCCCTTTTCACACAGCCAACCAAACTCACAACCTTTTGTCAAGTTCCTGTGATTGCGATCTTCACGAAATTCGATGGCCTCGTCACCAAAGCATTCGCTGAACTCAAACGAGGCGGTGCCACCCGTCAAGAAGCGATGACTAAGAGGATTGAGAAAGCGCTCGAGATGCTGACCGCCAACTTTGTAGAGCCACTCTCGTCGACCGCAATCCGCCCCGCCGACTGGGTACATCTCTCCAGTAAGTGGTCCATACATATTGAAAGAAAGGCACAGTAATTCGTGAACAGACATGCATGAGGATGGCGGCAGCAACTGCAACGACTTGATTGAGAAGACAGCGAATGCCCTCAATAACGACGCGCTTCGGCTATTGTTCGTGTCCGTGCAGCAAAACAACATCAATGTTTGCATTTCCTATGCTGTGAGGAGGTGGGGGATTGCCAGCTTGCGGAAATGCTCCTTGACTGTGGTATTCATACAGTGCATTCGGAGAAAGAAACTTGCCAGGTGCGAACTGACGACACGTACTGCGGGTTGCTTGATACATGCTGCTAGATATTGTGAGGGCCACTTTGGTGTACTTTCCACACAGCTGGGTATGTTTGCAATGCTCGGATTATGCATTAATGATAACTCACCGATGACCTAGACGGCGGTGAGCATCGGCTGAGAGCGCACAATGAATGAGCCTGAACTCAGGTCGATACAGGATGAGGTCAGTGACACATGCTGTCTGAAAGTACAAGCCAATATGATCTCCACAGAAGGTAAATTAATTTTGCTGTGTACAATAACGATGTTGATTAGGTGTTCCGGCAGTATGTGAGTCTTCCACGTCGTACTTTGGTGCAAGTTTCGTCTTGCTGACCGCTCGGGAATCTTCACAGGACGCAAGTCCCACCGTTCTTTCGTCCGCGCCTGCACAACTCATGCGACTGCGCGGCAATTTTCACAGGACGT